TTTACTAAAATTTTCAACTATTTCAATTAATATCGTTTGTTAAGCGAAGATAAGTCTTTAGTGAGTACATATTTCAGTCTGCATGACTATTTTCAAGCCGGGGTTTGAGTACTTCATTTCAGTAACAATATTTATCCCTGATGTTAAGTCGGATGAGATATGAAATGTATTGTCTACTGTTTGATTAAAAAAAATTTCTAAATCTATTTTATATCCGATTTAGAAAAAATCATCATTAACTTTCATTTTGGAAAGAGAAAAATGGATTGATCAAATCATAGGCTTCGTTGAAATATGAAATTTGATTTGACACCACTGCGTGGCGATTGATACATGCGTGATAAATCAAATGCGATAGTAATTGATTGCAATTGACAGTATCGATATGTGCGATAATTGTCCGTCTTCCTAAAAGAATTCCCTTCACAACTATTAATGCAATTTAATCGGATAAACACACGGTTTGCTTGCTCGAATCGAAAAAATGTATTTAGTTATTGGCACTTACAAGTAAAATGTCATGCACATTCTGTGATAAGCTTGTTTAGAGCATAAAGATTATGGAGCGTACGTCACAATCTACGGTTCGTCGATTGGACAATTTATCTCTCCCGAGAAAAACTTGACGCAAAAGAGAATCATTTCGATGAAAAAGTATTTTACGATGCGCTTTACAGCTCGGATAATTGCAGAGTTTCAATTATTGTATCCTGTAATTATTAAAATGTTCGAAAACTGTCGAAAGAGGAGGGTTTTTCAGCACCATTAGTACCAATGCCTTATAAAACAAGAATCTTGGTGAGAAGAGTTTCGCGGTGGTGGCGTACTAAACGCGCGGAACGCAAGAGAAATGTGCAACGTCACTGAGAATCTCAGAAACGCTTCTGTCCGACAAAGCAAACTTCTAACAAAGCAATATAAATACGACGTAAAGGAAAGAGAAAAGAAAAATGGAAAAGAGAGAACAAGTGGAGCAACCATTATTATAACGAAAGAGTTCTAACCAGAAATTAAAAGAGAAATATTAAAGAGTGTCGAGAGAGCGAATTTTTGTCTCGTTATCAATTATTTGCATCGCGGCGGCGGCGGCGGCGGCGGTGGTCGCTGCAGCCGACATCTCGAATACACTTGTGAGATTCGTCGATAATGCAACGATGATGATGCAACAGGAGAGAGACAACGCGAGTGACATACACGTAATACGCGGAACGTTCGTTATGTCACGTTACGGAGTCGGTGCGGCCGGTTCTCTTGGAATAATTACGTCGTAAGGTGAATTAATATTCGCGACACGTGTGCGACATTTCGCGAATTTGAAATTTAAAAGACTTGTGTGTATATCCAGACAAAACTATATATACAGGGTTACTCGATCCGAGCGACTAGAACGCCGCGTCTCTTTCTCGGGGATAGCGTTCGCGGGCGTGGACTCTCTGCCGTTCACGATCAAAACAGCAAGGATTATTTTTTTCTCACCGGTCCGCCGAAGAAATGTGGCGAGTAAACAAGCCGGTCCGACGCGAGTTCGCGCGCGTTCGTGTGTCTAAATATAAAATCGCAACAAATCAATAGCAAGCACGCGGGGGGCGCACGACATCCGATAAATACCGATTGAATATCTAGAGCGGCTTTGCCTCGCGATACGTGCACACGTGGACGCGCTTGTGACCGCCTCAGGCGCTTAGAGGCGATCGAACGTTTCTCCAACAGATTATCGAGCGCATTATTGCGTTCTTCTTGTATCATCAGCGTCCGCGATCGTATTCACATCTTTGTGCCTGACGTCGTCAGGCGAGAGCGAGTATTATATATAGAGCGATGGGCCGCTGTAAGAGGAATTTCTTTCCTCGTGCTTTTCACGAGTACGGCAAGAGAAACAGTGAGATGCATCAACCTGTGCATAGAGTAGAAAGAAAGAGAGAGAGAGAGAGAGGGGGGAAGGAGGGGGAAATGCTGGCACTTTTCACGTAGTACGCTCGATTCGGTCGTAACGTCGGCGCGCGTGTGTTGGCGCGCATGTTACTGACGTAATGTTTCTATCTCGGCCCGATTAAGCGAGATAGTAGTAACCACGCTCGTCGCAACTTGTACCACGTGTAGCCGCACGACGCACGTGCGCGAGACAATCGGCGAGACGATACGGTACGGCGAGTAACGGTAACACCCGGCTCTTCGCACCCTCTTTTCCGTGATCGTCGCGAAGGGCACGGTGAGAGAAGCACTTTGTCCGAGCCAGGATCTAATCCTCCCGCCCGAACTGGAGAGGGCTTTTTGTCAACTGCGGATAGTCGTCGTTTGTAACCTTGATCGAGTGATGATGCTGCAAACTTTTGCATTTTTCTCAATATTTTCTTTTGCAGTATTACTCTAAATATCACCGACATCTCGTCGCGGTGGAACCGCGACAACGTTACATTATTTTTAAATTATTCAAAAACTTTCATGTACACAAATTCAAGCTTCACTAAACTGAGCGATTTTCATTGAAACGATGCGACGTCAGGCATTTTAATTTGTAATGATCATATTAAATTTTCGTGCGTACATTACATGATATACGCATGATATGTTGCTCTAGAATAACGAATTTACCGGTTGTTTTTAATGAAAATAAGCATTTGCTATATATTTCGCTTGCCATTGCTCGCTGGGATCGCGGCGCCCCGCAATCGTTAGCGATAGCGGGTTTGGGATGGCGGTTCCTCGCGGCTACGTATTGTGCATGCACGTGTAATCGGTCCGCCGCCGCCGCCGTCCGGAGCGTACGACCGGCGAAAGAAAGTAGTCGGTCCCGTTACGAAATAGCGAGTGAATGCCGGCCTATCTGGGTCGGACAAAAGCGGAACTTCCGTGACGCGTATTCGCGCCGCCGCTCTGAGAGGTGCGTGCACACCACGTACTCTTGCGGTGTGGATTAAAAGTGACAACGGGGCGACGTCTGACGATCGTGTGACGAATTCCAGCTCGCCAGCTACAAAGCAATGCTAACGATCCGCGAAATGGCGCGAGATAGCACTTTGAGATCTGAGAGGTCGTAAGAACACGTTCGATTTACTTTCTCTGACGCTAACCGGAATATGTATCTTTCGTTTCGGGGGAGGAGCAGCTTGTCTCGCGCGCGCGTTACCTACCAGCCAGCCGATATCTCGCGAAATTACGGTACATTCTTCTCCCGATTGTTTTTCTTGCGATCGAGTCTCGAAAAAAGAGAACTCATTATTCAGGAGCGAGAGAAGTAAAGGAGGGAGAAGAGGAGCTGTGTGGTGGAATGCCGTTGAGAAGTAACGGAGAGTAGCGAGCTCACGCGGGCTCGACGAAGGAGGCGCCGCGTCGAATCGAGGCAACGACGACGACGACGACGACGACGACGACGACGACGACGACGACGACGACGAGCGGATCGAAACGACGATCGGCCGACGAAATTCACGTTGTAATCCACGAAAACGCAATCTCGGAACAGAACGGAACGGGCAAGTGGGTCACCCGCGAGCTCGCGAGCTCGCGATGATCGAGCGTAGGTACGCCGCGACGGACGGTGGTGGTCTCCTTTACTACCTTGACACGCATTCTCGGCTGGCAGTCAGGGCCGGGGACACCCGCGACGAACCCCGATCTCGCGCACCATCACGTCCATCACCACCCGCGCGCGCGCGCGCGCTTTCGCCGCTTAATTGTCCGATACTCTTCGCGTCGCCCGGGATATTACGTAATCGCGCTCGTGAGAAATTGTCCGGTTTCGTGAATCTCTCGTTCGCAATTGAAAGGGTATCAGCGTAAATTGCGTTTTATTTTTCCTTTCCATCGATTGAAAGTCGATCTCAAACGCGCACGGTTCTCTAACGCGCGATTTATAAATGTAACGCCGTGTTAGTCCGTCGACTCGCAGATTATCAAGGACAATCATCGTTTGGCTGCCAAATATGTTTTTGGTGAAACGTAGACAAAACTCCGCTTGCGGAGTTGCGAGAATTTCGTTCAACATAACTTCCATAATTTCGAATAATATTTTTATCAGTGAATTCTGATAACACGTCAATCGGTTCGTTCGTATTTCAGCAGAAATTTCGTTTAATCCAATCAGATGGATTTCAGCGACCACGGAACTCGATTCCGCGGTGAAATCTCAGCGTGAGATCCCTGGCGATAATTTCTTTGCGCTAATTTAGCGGAACCTGGCTGAACACCACACGTCTCTTCTCGCGGAATACAAAATGCGCAGAGGGTAGAGGCACAGAGGTAAAAAAAAAAGAAGCAAAAGTGAAAGTGGCAATGCTGTTTAACGGAATAATTGCTGTGCAGAATCACGACCTACTTGCGCCACCTTCGTAATCTCGAGGTCCCAACTTTTTGCGTCGTCATCGAATGATTCGACAAAACGAACAGCTCTTCCCCTTCTCTTCGCGCCATAAAACAAAGAAAATCATTATTATTGATCTATCGAGCCGATATCTCACATTGAATGTCATTTATGTTTTGCTTCTCGAAATACTCTGTATGTAAACTGAGGGAAATTGTTACACTATAGACATACTATTATTACGTAATTATTATTATTAGGTGGATAGATGTATGTTGAATTAGTGGCGACTCAGGCTACGTACGTAGTAGATACGTGCACACTGCCAAAGTGCAGCGTGGCAGTGACGGTGAATTGCTCGCGTGTGCATTCATGACGGCGCACCTGCCGATATTAGCCGCATCGCAGGTGCTTGTATCTTTGCGCGTGACACGTCGAATAAGCGGCATTCCATTCCACGCGCCCGAGCGCTCGACGCACCGCCCCACACGGACATTCGAAATGTTTTCTTTTTCCTCGTATGTCGTTTTTCCAACATATCGTATCGTATATAGCGTTCGAAAGAAGAATGAGCGCTTTCTCATTGCCCCTCGAAAAGTTTCTCGCCGGTTCATACTTGCGAGATCAACAATTCCTTTTCTCGCAGCTAAGAACGTCTCCTTAATACGAGTGTCTTACGAAATATGTTTCTCTGTTACAGTGAATCTGGCCGAACCAGAGGGTAGGAACCAGAGGGTGGATATGACGCACTTTGATCTGCTCAAAGTTCTTGGTACTGGAGGTAATAAACTTCTTATTCGCAATATGGCTAAACGGATTTCTCATTCTCATTTACCCTCATTTAAGTCGCAACGTTTATGTCACGCTTCTATTGACCACTTTATATTTGCTTGCTACAGCTTACGGCAAGGTTTTCCTGGTGCGAAAGAGGACGGGTAATGACGCTGGCAAGCTTTACGCCATGAAAGTCCTGAAGAAGGCTGCCATCGTGCAGAAGAAAAAAACGACCGAGCATACAAAGACGGAGAGACAAGTTCTGGAGGCCGTCAGGGACAGTCCCTTCCTAGTGACCTTACACTACGCATTTCAGACTGACGCGAAACTTCACCTAATTTTAGGTAACTTTAATTAATCCAACTTGTAAGGGAGATAGATAACAAACAAATTGGAAGAAATAGAATTAGTTATGAAAAAAGAAAGATATATATATATATATATATATATATATATAGCATTCAGTAGCACAAGTGAGAAAAATGTCAAGCTATTTCTAATTTATTAGCTTGAAAAAAAAATTCACGGAAATATAAGTATCGTGCATATATTTCTTATAAAAATCTAAATGTGCACATTTCAGCGCGTCTGTGTGCTGATTCTGTGCATTTCGTTATCTTGCGCCGATATCTCATTATTCATTAATGTCGCAAAATAAATGTGAACATAATTTCTATTTTCAGATTATGTGAACGGCGGTGAATTGTTTACGCATTTGTACCTTCGTGAACAGTTTCCGGAAAATGAAGTGCGCATTTATGTTGGCGAAATTATTTTGGCGCTGGAACATCTTCACAAGGTACGTGGCTTCACAAGATACAGCGACGCATTCTCGTGAAAGATAACAAGACTGCAAAAATAACAAGATTGCTTTATGCGCGCACGTCGTCGCATGCATATAACAACGAATTCACTTTAGACATTGCACAACATTGTTGAATAAATGGCTTAATCGTGATTTGTACAAAGATCGCTTCGCGATCAGATCTAACCTAAGAGGGAGAAGCTTATAAATATTGCATAAACTTGTTATAGCTCGGCATCATCTATCGAGACATCAAGCTGGAGAACATATTGCTCGATCGAGAAGGACACATTGTACTGACAGACTTTGGGCTCAGTAAGGAGTTTCTGCCGCATGAAAGGAACGGCAATGCACGAGCTTACTCGTTTTGCGGAACTATCGAATATATGGCACCGGAAGTAGTGCGAGGAGGCATAGCCGGTCACGATATCGTAAGTAACAGCGGCGAGTAACACTGTTGTGTCAACGACGATTGTTGTGTTTTCTTTTGCGAACGAAAATTCTAATCTCACATCGGCTGTCTAATCACAGGCTGTCGATTGGTGGAGCGTAGGCGTGCTAACGTACGAGCTACTGACGGGTTCGTCGCCTTTCACGGTGGAAGGCGAGAGCAACTCGCAGCAGGAAATCTCGAGGAGGATATTGAAGACGGAGCCGCCGATGCCGGACTACCTGAGTCCGACGGTACGTGACTTTATCAACCGTTTGCTCGTCAAGGACCCACGACGAAGACTGGGCGGTGGACCACAGGACGCCAACGAGTTGAAGGAGCATCCTTTCTTTAAGAATGCGCCGCTACCCTTCAGCTGGGAAGCGCTGGAGAAGAGGCAGATTAAGCCGCCCTTCGTTCCTCGTATCCAACACGAATTGGATACCAGTAATTTTTCGGACGAGTTCACAAAAATGGCCGTCGCCTACAGCCCGGCGGTTGTTCCGCCTAATCACGACAAGATTTTCAGGGTAAGTGTTCGGACACGCGCGCGCGATGTATAATAACACGACTAGTTGGACACTCGAGAAACCAGCAGTGTAATAATCAACAACGCGCAACAATTTATTTGTTTTAGGGTTATTCGTACGTGGCACCTTCGACAAGATTCGCCGACAATGCGGTGAGCAACCACATATTTAAAGAAAGCACGCTTCAAGGGATTGACACGACTAGCGGTGAGTCGTCGCGTATGTCGGCTCCCGTGATTCCAACGTGTCTGGAAGACTCGTCCTTCTTGCAGCAGTACGAAGTGAGCCCGCGCGAAAAAGCTCTAGGCGACGGCAGTTTTTCCGTTTGCCTGCGCTGTCGCCATCGGAAGACCCAACAGGAATTTGCGGTAAAGATCATCAGCCGTAGAGTCAACTGCGTTCGAGAGCCGAATCTACTGCGCGTTTGTCAGGGTCACCCAAACATAGTGAAGCTAATAGATGTTTACCAAGACGGAGTGCACACTTATCTTGTGATGGAGCTGTTGTCGGGTGGGGAATTGTTGCGACAACGGCGACGCTTCACGGAGGAGCAGGCACGTCGAGTGATACGACAGCTGGTATCCGCGGTACAGTATATGCACGCGCGATGCGTGGTGCATCGCGACCTCAAGCCAGAGAACATTGTGTTCGCGCACAAGGGCGAAGATTCGCCGGTCAAGATAGTGGACTTTGGCTTCGCTCGCATAAAGCGCAGCTGCGAACCGCTCCGCACACCCTGCTTTACGCTTCCGTACGCTGCACCGGAGGTGATGACCGGACAAGGGTACGACGAGGGCTGCGATCTATGGAGTTTGGGCGCCATTCTCTACTTTATGCTGTCGGGCAATCAATCGTTCGGTACCGGCTCACCCGACCTCGCGACGCGCATTCGTACGGGCGAAATCGATTTTGACGGTAGCGCTTGGAATCATCTGTCTGCTTCAGTGAAAGAGGTGATGAAAGGACTGTTGACGTTAGATCCCAGCAAAAGGCTTACCGCGAGCGCGCTCGCGAGTCACCCGTGGCTAGTGGGATTCAGTCATCCTTTGACAGGTCTCAGTGCGATGACGAGTTTCCCGCGCGACCACACCACCATCGCCATTAACACCATCGTTACCACCACGACCACCGCCACTACCACCACCGCCGCCGCCGCCGCCGCCGCCGCCAGTACCACTTCCATTCTCATTACACCTACCACCACTACCATCACCACCACCAACGCCAGTTCGACATGTGAACGCGCTGTCGAAGGCTTCCGTTTGCGCGAGGTCGACGGTGCCAAGCTTGCTCAGCGTCGCAAGCTGCAAAAACGTTCCACTTCCAGCTCGGTGTCCTCCTCGACATCCAACACTTCCTCGAGTCCGCCGTCGGCTCTATTGCTACGACCGCCAAGCGCTTCGACGAGTAACGCGACCACTTCCGCCTCGCCGGCCCAACCGAGCGTCTTCGATTTTAACGAGGATCATGTGACCGAGTATCTCAGCTCTCTGTCTTCTTCTTCCGAATCGAATTCTCCCAGAATCTCATTGCAGGATATCGTTGGTAAAAAACGACGCAGACGCAACGTCGACTTATATCGCCGTAAAGCTCCGACGAAACCGCAGCGGCACAAACGCGACATGGATAGCGAATGTTGCGAAAACAGTGACGACATTAGCAACGGGCCATTGACGCGATCGAGAAAACGTAAGTTGGAACTGGCAGCGTTAAGCAGTTCCGACAGTTCCCTCGAGTCGAACGAGTCTGCACAAGGTGATGCGGAAACTAATATCCATAGGAAGCAGAAGGGCAGCAAGCGGTCCAAACGCCTCAGCGCGGATAGAGATTAGTTTTCTTACGCTGGTTCGATGACTGGCTCACTTTGTTTCCTATGCATTTTACATGATATGTGAAACTGCTGCCTTTGGCGTTCGTTCGTACGAGACGCTAGCATTATATCATTCCTATCTTGAGAGATAAAAAGCGTGTGTAGTGAGCGTGTGTGATGTGTATGTGTGTGTGTGTGTGTGTGTGTGTGTGTGCGCGCGCGCGCGCGCATGCTAAATATTTTTAGTATATTGTATGTACATAGGAATGCATACACACAAGTTTGAAGATATATACATGTTACAAGAATGCATTCTCGCTACTAACTTAGATATCAATTAGGACAATGGAAGGTGCGTGAAAATGCCGTATCAGACTATGGGCAGGGTCTTAATGATAAGATGTTTCTGCGAGAATTTATGCAATTGTATGTATAAAATTTTATTTTTATTACCGTATGCTATCGCAAATAGGTGGGTCACGAGGAACTCAAATTGTTTTGTTACATTATAAAATGGGGTTGCCTGTGATTAATAGAAAGGGAGATGGTTAGAATTGTCTATATGGTGAGAATATTCTTCTGGCACGTGTTGCTGTTCGACGAACGCGTAGATGACGGTAGTAATCGAGAGTTGAAACGAAAATGTTAACGGATGGACGCTTCTTATGAATGTTGATATAATATATACACATATATATATAATATATATATGGTTAATGTGCCTCGAAAAACTCACTCTGATGTAAGTACATCAAAAACAATGTGATGTACTAAAGATGAATGCGAATGGAAGATGGATGGATACTTTCGTAAATATCGTATAAACGTATTATTTTCTGTAATAAGTAACTCGACTTAATAACTCAATATCAATAACTATTTACAAAAAAGCACTATATATATCACATTTTTGCATCAATTGCATCTTGAACAGTTTTTTTTGTTTCCATTATTGAGCTAATCAATAGTAGCCCTTTTTTAATAACAAAGATTAATTTATTATTTAGCAGGGAAAAATAAATACCAAAAATATAATTTATAAAGAAAAGAAAGAAGGAATGCGAGTGATGTACAATAAATCAAGTGCTCTTTTTCAGATGTTATCGTGTGTGTATATGTGTATATATATATATATATATATATATATACTTATGTATGTATGTATGTATGTATGTATGTATGTATGTATGTATGTATGTATGTATGTATATATATATATTACACACACACACACACACACACACACACAAAAGACTCAAGGTATCACATAATCTATAGATAGATGGATAAAGATTATATGATACTTATAGTTTTTTTTTTTTTTTAATAAGTCGCAATTATAATTCATTTATATGATGTTTACGAAAATGTTATGTGTCTAGCGTTATTATGTATTAATTTCTGCAGACAAATTTTTGCAAAAAGAGAAAATGTGATTCATGATGGTAGTCTGTTTAAAATGATAGATACAAGACGATAAGATTACATTACATTCAGTGCGCGCGAAATTTTACTGTAAATCTTTTATTAATTCACATTGATTTCGATTGAAATACAGCCTAAATCTTATGTCATCGTTTTATATCTATCATTTTAAATCAGGTTAATAAGTAAGATTAGAAGGAAAATTTCTCTTCAGTATTCAACATTTTTTCGTAAGAACCTTAATCTGTATTTATGTAGTATTCGAAGAGGAATATATGAACATTTTTGGTACATGGAATGGGGATGAATAAATTGTGACAAAATGCTATAAGAGAGCAGATTAGAATTAATTGAACGTTTTTTTATCAGTGAGACAATTAGATAAGTTAGACAAAAATAAATTCTGTCTTTATACAAATTGGTCTATATAATTGTCAAGTTACATATAATTGTAAAATATTTAATTTTGCCAATTTGAATTATTTATATCATTTGTCAAGGTTGTCAAAATGATTGGCAACCGTTTCGTTAGTTTTGTCTCCTTTGTTGCTCGCGTTATGTTTTCAACGATTAGAAATGTCTGCACAATTTTCTGTGACAAGGCACAAGGGAGAAGAGAGATACATTTTGTTTGTTATATCGATAGACATTTATAATCTAGAACTTCTTTTTCATACGATTGGATAGTGTTGTTTACTTTTAGAGAAACGACTATATTATACTCGATGGCAATCGCTGTGAGAAATGAAATAATAAATGGGTAAGACTGAAAAGTGGTTGTATACCAACTCAGGGAACAGATGCGCGCGCATTAATTGAGTAACGTCTTGTGTTATCCATGTGAAATAATGTTACGCGAGAGAGAAACAGAGAGAGAGAGAGAGAAAAAAACATATGCTTCTACCAAAGAACTTTCTACCGAAGCAATACTGCTTCGTAAGACCAAAAAAAAAGTATGGTATGTAGCGGTGAAATAAAGCTATGTACATAGGTGAAATATCGTAAAATTTCACATAAATTATATATATATATATATATATATATATATACATATATATATATATATATATATATATATTAGTTATTATATACAGATATTTAAAATGAAAAACCATTGTACGATTATATATTTAATAATACATTTCGTTAGAAAGTAATATTCTTTAAGAAAAGGAGAAAGAGATATATGCACATATGAAAAAAGAAGATGCGCGTGTGTATGTCTGTGTGTATATACACACACACATACACACTTTTATCTAGTATTGCAAAAATTATTACTTCTTATGGGTTATATTAACTGCGTGCGACAGAACAAACTGTTTTTTTCTTTTTCTAGTGATATATCATTGTTACGTTACGAACACTCCTTCAATGTTCAAAGCCATGCGTACACACATGTATAGAAACACATTATATATACATATATATATATATATGTATGTATGTATGAATGAATGTATATATGTATGTATGTATGTATGTATGTACGTATGTATGTATGTATGTATGTGTATATATATATATATATATATATATATATACATATACATATATATAAAAAGTTATACAGATTATGCAACTTGTACTGTACAAGAATGCTGTTCTGTTATTACAAGTATGTAAAAGAGACACACCTACCTTTGTTACCACTGGTTGTTAAATACATCATGATGCGATATTTATTTACATAATAGAGTTGCTTGTTTATTTCGATAATGTCACTCCTATCCCGACACCCCGAAGAATCGCGCGCGGTCAGAGGACTCGCATGAAGAAAAAGTGAAAAAGAAGTAGCCGATAAATGTACGATTCAACGATCCCGCCAAAAGCTGCAGTGAATCTGGTGACGCGATTGGCGCTCGAGCATCATTGGTGTCGGATGCCGCGAATCGCGTGGCGCGACGTCGCGCCTACTTGCCAGGCGCGAGATGCGCAACGGTCGATCGCGCAGCGTCCCTGTACCGCGGCATCCTATGGCGACGCACGAAACCCGGCTCTTGTTGGACCGTTGGTTGCGCTGGCTCGCGGCAGTAGTACGCATTTAGCGGTGAGGTGTCTGAGTGTCGGTCGTGGGGAGATATACGGACGCGCCGATTTTTTTCGACAGTGAGTTGATGATTCGTTAGTACGACTAGGCACGCCGGTTACTGCCTCTTTGTTTGCCAGTGTGCGTAAACACGTGATAAAATCGAGAGTGAAATCGCGCCGCGAACACGAGTCAACGAGATATGTCGACAAAGTCGAGCAAGAAGACCGCGGCCGCCACCGCTGCTGCCGCCGCCGCCGCCGCCGCCTCGTCCTCCGGGATCAGCAGCATGCAATCGCCGCCAGCGAGCACGTCGACGCCGATCGGCGGCCGGCGACCTGGCAGCCCGCTCAGTCCTACTCGCTACTCTCGATTGCAAGAAAAGCAAGATTTGCAGAATCTTAACGATCGTTTGGCGTGTTACATCGACAAGGTGCGTCACTTGGAGACTGAGAACTCCCGGTTGACGCGGGAGGTGCAGACCACCCAAGAGACGGTCACCCGGGAGGTATCCAACATCAAGTCCATGTACGAGCACGAGCTCTCCGACGCGAGGAAACTGCTCGACGAGACAGCCAGGGAACGCGCCAAACTCGAGATCGACACGAAACGCTTGTGGGACGACAACGAAGATCTCAAGAGCAAGTAAGTTGAGCAGCAGTGCGCGCACGCGCGTTTCACATGCGCTCCGCTCTGCTCCGTTCCGTCGGGTTTAACCGAATTGAGCGATCAGTGGGAGCAACGTTGACAGATATATCACTGCTATCGTTGATGATGCCTTGAGAGGTATCAACTGGAAGATGTTACAAAATATTCGGGGAGAATAGTTGTGGTGTAAAATTCATATATTATGTAATTACTACATGTTTACGTCGCTCATGAAGCAGTGATTAGCGAAGCTCGGATTTCAATATTCTAGAGCCCGAGATGCGTGTTTTCAAAAGGATAGAAATGAGCTAGGACGAATTATTTATTTATTTCTTTTTACATACAAGCTGATGTATTCTTATTGTCTTTTTTGTGCTTACCAGATTATGTATTAATGTACATCGGCTTCAACCACAAGTTTCTCCCAAGTCTCTTGTTACATCAGTATTAGTAGAAACGTGAAAGAATGTCCTTTCTCTTTTTTGTCTACTTATTCCGAACGCATTTACATACGACTTGGCATTGAATGTTGTGTGCCATGATTCACCTCACGTTCCTTGAATCAATTTCTGAGAAGTTGTCAGATACGCGCGTTTCTTTGCTCGAGATTGCACACATTTAAAATGTGAAAATGACTATATCTCATATCAACTATTGTTTATGAATTCGAGTAACATTTTTCTGGCATATGTGCAAATTGCAGAGAATGCATTACTACACAACACAATACAAGGGATGAATGAGAAAAGTGTAATTGGGTCATCTTAGCAACGACTCGCAGAGACGCGCCGAATATTCTTAACTTGAATGGATCGATACTTTTGTGCCGCTGCGTTATCATTTATATCGCGCAACACAACATAGATATTATCTGGATTCTTTCGTCGAGAAAATCTTTTTTACTTATAGTATATGCACGCTTCCGGATAAAGACGCGATTGTGCGTCACGTGTATTTGTGTGTATATATTGATCGACCGTCGCAGATACAAAGAGATGGGGTTCAGGATAGTAACCGCCGGCAACTGTATCTGATAATACAACGTTCAAGAATTCGCGCCGCGATCGATGATGGCCTCTCGTAAGTCGGGACGTTTTGTTTCATCGTCGAATAGTAACTAACCGTGTACTTGGTTTTTAGCCAGGATTAGCCGTGGCGCCGATCGGTTCTTTTCACGACGATTGATTCCTCGGGGGACATAAATTTTGATGAACACAATATGTAGTGTCTAAAAAGTCTTTTGTCTAGCTATTTGTCAGTATCAACATTTGTGAAAGTGGATCGCGAAAAGGGACGTTGGTTTACGTCGATATTTAGCGTGAGGTGGAGTAAGGAGGAATTTGGACGCGTGTCGGTTCTCTCGGAATGAACGGAGGCCCGGCTTTCGTCGGCGTGGACGAGGTGTAGCGTGACGTTACTACGGCGGTTGCATCACGCTTACTATGCGGTGATGATATCAGCACGTGTATCACCTGACCTAAAAACATTGACTTTGTTTCTCGCACACGACCATGGTTGTGTGAGCCGGATGTATGCGAAAGAGCGTATCGTTTCGATCGATTTCGACCCACTAGAGCGAAACTTTTCTACAACACCGTGCGTATACCTGCTTTGCACCCACCGTTGTATATGGGGTCTATTCTGTGCGATCTCTACATCCTTACGTGGTTCAACAGTACCCGGCGGTTGTTGCTCTTGGTTGCGCTTTTCATTTATGCATTTGAGTTTTTATTCGTACGACTTTCAAAATATTGCCATGCCAAGACGTGGCGAAGGGATTCTGAAGCGAGCGCGTCGGCTTATTGGCGTTTCGACACAAAACACTCCGCTATCTCATGGCCGATTGTGCATGAATCGAATCGCCGGTTGTGAGAACCGCTGGAACAAGGGATAGTCACTGTATGCAAGGCCCATTTTCACATCGCGCTAAATGTCACGATATTTTTGGTCGTGACACAGCATAATACTACTCTTTCTTTTCCTTCGCTGAGACACCCGCCTCTCGACGTAGATCCGACGTCATCGACGGGTTTTGCCGTTATAGGAGAGACTTTCCAATGATTAGCTTAGTCGCAAGAAAACCTTCGTATCCAATGATGCGTGTGATGATGCTTGTCATATCGCATTGCCAATTCATTGTCATCTCGCGAGAGAAATTGGTGCCGACGAACCGAAAGGATCATCGGTCACTTTTCGATACACAACTGTCGTGCTTAGCATTCGTACATTTGCAGAAATTTCTCAAAACTTGCGATTCGCAAAGCTAACGATGCTGAAAAGTGACACGAATGAAAAGAAAATGTTTTTCGCTTGTCCCGCATGAATAAGATAGGTTTACGATAACGAAATACATAAAAACACGAAGCAGCATATCGGTTCGGCGCGCGCGATTGCGTTAATCTCACGCTCCGACGCGGATAAGTCGCGAAAAGAACGGTGACGCGACCTCGAAAATGCTTTCGAACGGCGTGGAATTCTGGTCGTGTGGATCAATGACGATCCGACGACGGTAGGAAAAAGCACCGTACGAAACCGTGGATGACATCATGCGCCCGGCGTCGGCCATTTTACAACGGTGCACCGCCGGGCCGACATTATGCACGAGAACGTGTAACGCCTGTAAAAGGACGAGTGTAGCAGCCCTTGATTCGAGCGAGGGAGGACTGCTCTCTCTCTCTCTTTCTCTCTCTCTCTCTTTCCCCCC